GGCGAGGCCAGGTTGGACAAAGGGGCTTGGACCACCCTGCTCTAGTGGAAGGTGTCCCTGCCCGTGGCAGTGGTTGGAGCTGGATGAGCTTTAAGGTCACTTCCAACCCAAACCATAGGACATAGTGTCAGTTCTTAAATTTCTTCTGTTTCAACTATTTTTTACTATCCTCTCATTGTCTGCAATTGTTTTCCATTCAGTAGCATCACAAGAAGCCTCTGACTTTCATTATTCACCTGACAAATTAGCAGACTATTCACTTTTTTACTGTAATATCACAGCTTCCTCAGGAATAAACTGGTGGTGTAAACAAAAACAGCAGGAGAAAGGGATGTTTTGACGTCTTCAATTTGCTGCCATTGCCATTCAAAGCTTACAAGGAGCAAGAGTTTAGAAGAAAAACACCACCAAAACGACAACAAAACAACTTGGAGTAGTCCAATGACTTAACTGGAGTTTCGAGATGGACTTTTAAGACTCAGAAATACACTTTAGAATTAAATCCCGAGTTGAGTAACGTCTAAAGCTAGAGCATGACCTCTAGATGGTGCTGACATCCTGTTAGTCCATGAGGTTACGGCATATTCCAGCGCAATAAAACTATATTCTGGACCATCGCCCTTTGGCAGTTACCTTCAGGCACGTGGATTGTAGATTTAGCAGTCACAGTTTCTCTGAATTTCTTATTGCAACACAGTGGGTTTCAATCTACAACCAGAAAGAGTAATTCAATTCCCTCATCAGTAAAGAGGTAACAAGTACACAGCGGATGCACTCGTGCAAGACAGCACGTAGTGAGACAGAGCATCCAAGTCGTTCCAGTGACCACAGCTCAGGTCTCAACAGGCTGTGAAAAGTAACAAAGATTTTGATGAAAATAATGAGGAGGACCAGAAAAGCTGAAAGCTAAGCAGCAGAGATGCACGTGGTAAGATAATGAACTAGAAATGGTGTTTTCAGCCTCTTTAACTGCATCTGAGTTGCAGCCAGTGATTGTATTTTATTCTGGTATTTAATACTGGGAACTATTAACTGTATTGCTGCACATGGGTTTGTAGCTAACTTGGTGTACCCATGACCTTACTGGAACATGAACCCCACACCACGGCAATCAAGCTGCTTCTGGAACTCAGTGATGTTGTGCTAAAGCTGGAAATGTCTAGTTTAAATGGAGATGGGCTACTGAAAGTACAACTAAATCCATATCCCACACCAGCTCTGGCCTGTGGTGCAACTGGTTAAAATGGGAGCTTCAAGACACTCAGGGCAGTGATTCCTCTAGAAGATGTGTTATGGAGCAAAATGTTGGGGGCAAGAGCATGCACGTTGATACAAGTGCAGCTGCAGATGTGCACGTACCTGGAGTAACTCAGAGTCAGAAGATGTCGCAGTGGAGTAACTGTGTTCAGCCTGTATCTTACTCAGTTCCTGTTCTTTAGCTGAAGCTTGTGTACTGCTGGGACAGACCCATTAAATGTGCTGTTTTACAAAAGGGAAAAGGATTTGGGAAGTGCAATCACTCAAGTATGATGGTATCACACTGTCTACCACACAGTGAGGTGCTTCCAGATGTTATCCAGGCAGTGTTATTTCAGGAAAGCATTTTGGAGAGAGAACCTTTCTTACACAACAGTATAAAGCCAGAAAAACATGTTATATTTTTTTCTCCTGAGGTGTTCTGAATTTTTCCCCTTTCACATGGTGCCTGATGGTTTCCAAATGGTTAACTTGGACATTACTGTGCCTCATCTCCTCCCTTCCACTGATGCAAAAGAAACCTGATCAATTTCCCTTGCATAACATGTAAAAATTCCACAGAAAACACCAAGAACAGCACAAAAAAACACAGCTCATTCTGTTCAATTTCTTTCTTAGGCTACACAAGCTGATTTGAGGAATTAGAAACATTATAGCTGGATAAAAGATGATCTGACCTCTTACATGCTAAAAAGAAACATATTGTTCTGATATTTAACATGAAAACTGAGCCAGATGTTAAGTTACCCAAACTGATTTATTGACAATTTCAATGTGACATATTTACAGCACTGTTTCTAAAATAATTTAACAATTTTCATAGATTTATAAAAGTACTGATAAATAGGAGACCCTGACAATTACCAACCACAAATACTTCCCTATGCTACCGAACTACAACAGTAGTTCTTTTCTTTTTTCTCTTTTTTGCCCCCCTCTCTTTGTAAGTCCCATAATGGAGCTGCTTTACCTCCACCCTATGTGTAAAATTGCCAATACCAAAATATAATAGAATGAACATGCAGTGTGAAAGCTGTACCAGAGCGAGTGATTTCAGATGTTAGACTACAGTAAAAAATACTTCAATGCAAAGTGTCTTCCACACAGAATGTACTTGTGAAAAAATAAGCTTTTAGAGAGCTATTATCTGTATAGAAGTTAAAACCTACAATACTAGTACAGACATTTACAGGAACTTCCAATTCTGTGCTAGTTTTCACATATATCTAAAGAGTCAAACAAAACCATTTACAAACACCACTGCCTTAAGACAGTGCTTAGTTAGCTTATGGATAAACAAAAAGATGAAGGTGCTGACAGAATTTAAGGTTTTGAAGTTAGATATATTTCATTCTTCTATGACACCAATTATTCTATCCTTGGATCAACAAATTATCATGGTAAAGCCATCCATATCTCTCAAGCAGGAAGTCAGTTTGGAAGTTGGAGAGAAGATGGACTTGTATGATATGTATCTTAGGTTCCAGGAGACCAAAAAACCCAGAGTATCACCAAGCTGGACAATCTGAATCACACTAAGCAGCAGCATGAGATACTTGTGGGGTTGGGATTAAAGCAAACATTTTTCTTGTTAGAATAAGATGAACAGGACACACTCCACCTAATCCAGTACTTGAAATGTAAAGGTTCTTCCCATTTGCCTCACTGAAGCCCCGTAAGACAGTGTACACAAAGAACAAATACTCTCTTTTTAAACAAAACATATTGCACAGCTAGCAGGTGCAATACCAGAACACTGGTATCCCTAGCATAAGTTTCCTGTTTTAAAGAGCTGTTTCAGACTATGCTACTCAGACCAACCCCCAGCCAAAACCATTAAGAATGGTTTGTGTACATAACTAATCCCAAAGTGTTTCAACAACGTGAGAAAAAACACAGGCACTTGAGATTCTTAGTGCACCAAAAGTTATAGGCCACAATTGCATGACTATGAACAGTTCAGTACCACCAACAACAAAACAAACCCAGGAGGTCTTCCACTGATCAATACAGAGACAAGAACTGTTCACAAAGCACTGATAGGAAAACCATTCTCAAAACAGTCATCAAAGGATACATTTAGACATTTAAGAGAAATTAATTGCTGCAAAGCCTCATGTAACACAATAGAAACCCTACTTAGGTGAAAAGACCTAAAAAGTGTCCAAATTCCAAAGTCCCAATTTCTCTTCTCCCCACCTCCAAAACACCGTGACATGCAGACCATTGAAATCCCAATGTGCAAAAGGTTATAACCCATCTTTAGGAGTGCATCAAAAACAGGCTGACTATTCAAAATATTATTTTAGTGGACATTTCACAGCACCATAATTAGAATTCCATAATTCAGAATTCTGGATCTGACAACAAATCAGTTGACACTGTTGATCCTAAAGAACAGAAGAAACTTTCTGTGCATTTCTGGTATCTGAAAGTCACGGAGAGAAACAATCCTCATCTATGCCTAACGTCTTACTGTAGTTCAAAATGAAATTAAATAATCACATTTGTTGGCAATAAGTTCTCCACAATGTAGCATTAGTTGTGAATTTAGTAAGTGTGCCAGATTAGGAGTGAAGAGTTGCTGGTACCTTGCTTACTTGCAGAAGTACATTTTGGTTTTGTCTTTTATTTTTCCTCCTAAATTGTGCAGTGGCCCCTCCCTAGTAAGTGATTTACTATCAGGCTTTGAGAAAACACCTAAGGTCCATTTCTGACCCTCAGCTGAAAGGCAATATTACAAACACCTTATATATACACATGTGTGCACACAAACACACACACATCCATATATATAAAAATCAGTGTTCCGGTTTTTTTGTTCTCATTTCCTATAATTTTCTTTGGTTCAAAGTCCGAGCAAGGAAATTAAGAGGACCAAACAAATGGATCATTCTCCAAACACTTCCATCACTACACATCACTAACTGGAAGGCTTGCATCATCCAGATCCACAAGGCCAGGATCCTGTTCCTGAGTGCCATTTTTACTTTGGGGTTCCGAGAAGCCCCCTTCAGTCACTTTGGAAGCTGATTCTCTTGGAGCGACAACCTGGATCTTGTAGCTCCCTGGCCTGGCCTTGGTAAAAGACTCGTGAAATCCTCGCTTCTCCAAGGCAGGGTATTTGGCGTGAGGGTTTGGGACCAGAGGGCTGCCGTGAGCGGCTGTGGAATGTGAGGAGGCTGGGGCTGGGATGGCAGAACGGAGAGCATGGTTGGGTTCGGAAGAAGACTCGGGATGCTCCTGGAAAAAGAAGAGCAGGTGTCAGATGAAGCCATTGACATCACGTTGGGAAGATGCAGTTTCAGATTTTGCTCTTAGAGAAAACAATAAAATCAAGACAGAAAATACACAAAGCAAAGCATCAGCCACAGCAGCAGGAGGCAGGTGCTTTCTCGAGGCGGTGTGTTATTAAATGTGAGCTTACAGCAGTATGTGACACAACATCAGGTTCTTCATTTGAAGAAATTGTATTTCTCAAATCAAGCTCAGCAGCAATTTAGACTTTATAATATAGTCCAGCAAATTGAGGCTTCTTGTTTTACTATATTAAGTAACCTTTTGAAGACAGGCATTTGAAAGTGACACCTTTCCAAGAGCAAAATGTATTCAAACACACTCATATACATCAGGCACTCCTATCCTAAATCCTGAAGTAATGAACATTTTACTGTTCCCTCCTCATGGGGTTCCAATCTCTCCGGGGACCAAACAAAAATAGTGACTACCTTATGCTATCAAGACTGGATGACAGTATTACAATTTCCAAGGTTAATGGAGCTAGAAAAGAAACTGATTTTGAAGCTATTCCTTCTGATTGCCAAGTTATTTTCTTGTGTTTATTATTATTCACTGCCATTCTGTTGGCCTTTACATATAGCTATTAGATTGATACTGTGGAACTTATCATCCACCGGTTACTTATTGATAGGAACAAGTTCCCAGACTACCTAGGAACCATTTAGATGTCTACAGCATAGGCACAGAGTGCCATTTTACATGTCTTAGGATATCCTGTCTGCCGTACATCTCCAGAACAAAACATTCCTTAGCTTCTGCATCACATCAGTTCTGTCAGGATGTCCCAAAACCCTAGGGATATCTAAAGCAGCGCTGGATACAGTTTTAAGTGATGTTATCAAGTGATACGTGGGATGATGCAGTGAATACTTCACTCTGCATGCATTAAAGGCAGAGGCTGCCACTTCTGCCATCACTAGCATTTGGACATGAACTAAACTGCAGACCCATGTGTGTACACAAGTCAAGTCACTTTTCAAGCACATATATTAGCAAAAAACCCATCACAGATGTGTGTCCAAGATGTAAATATACATCCTAAATGAAATACTTATTCTTTCACTGCAGTTTCCCAAGTTTTAGAATGCTATGACATGAGGTCATGAATTTAATCATAATTTATAAAAAGAAATACAGTAGTCCCTGGCAGAATCCAGTAACTAATACTACTGGGTGAAGGAGCTGTGCAACTTGTTTTGGACTTCAGTTTTGTGCTGAGTTTCAGTGAAGTCTTTCACATTATTTACATTGCCTTATTTCACACCTGACTTGATACTCCAATTCAAGAAAACCGTATCATTCAGTGATTTACCTACTATTCTTATTTTCAATAACTTTAGTTCAACAAATAGCATAAAAGTAAGGCATATGAGGACAATATGTCTATAAATTGAGCTGAAGGACACTCAGATTTTACTACCCACACTGACTGTAATTTCACAGTTAAAAGACTATGCTGCTGATTACTCCTAAGGTGGGCTGCTTTGAACAGTGTACCAATTACACATTGTAATGCTTCTATGTTGTAACGCATCGTTTCATGCAGAGACTTAGAAGCCATGCAAATCAGGCTACAACATTATCCTTCCAATTGCTAGAGTTACAATGTGCATGTTTTTCTGTGCACGCATCTGTATTAGTTTGTGGGTAGCTTAAATCTCATTTTGCTTTTGCGCAGTTTCATAAAACAAATGGAAAGTAAAATGGAAATATGAACTCTCATGCAAATTAGGTTTAATACTTTCCTCTTACAATGACATCACATAACTTATGTTTAAATACACAGTATGCTTTGAAGAATAAAGACATGGTTTTGCCAGTTTTAATTCCCAATTATTTTAAAAGCAAGAAAAAACAGTGCGAACCTGTAAGTGAATGATATAATTTATGAGTTAGTTTTCAGTAATGGTAATGACAACAGGTAGCCATACTTTTAGTTTTTTATAGTGCAAATTAGTCTCTAGCCCTCTGTTAAGAAGGCAAGTTTACATGAGAGCCCACATACGTGCTGCATTCACCAGTTCTTGATGTATACCTCTGTATACAAGGATTCGACAGCCTTCTGGCCTGCCGCATCTGGAACACAGTGCAAAGCTAAGATTAGAGTAACCTATACTTGGGGAAAGAAGAGAAGAGAGGGAAAAAGAAAGAAGTGATGCAGACAGTAATAGCTAGATTGCTCAGTTAGCCCCACAAAAAAAATAAGCATACACAAAGAACAGTTATCTGCATATCTTCATTCCCCCAAACAGAAACAAGTTTTATGATGGGGAGTTGTATTTCGAAGCACGAAGCAGCTCCTGGCTGTGAAAACTAATGGAGAGTTTAGATGGAGTTAACAGAAACACTGAATCAATGCAAACGTGTAGTCAAAAGCCAGATTTAAATTCTCAGATTTCAGATGATGGGGGTAATGATATTTTCAGCTTACTACAAAACACTCCCTAGCCAGAAAGTGAAAACCACAGCTTGCAACATCTGAACTGGAAAGTACTCAATGTGTTAAATCCAGACATACTTGAAGACTGTTACTGTGATACCACAGTAACCTTTGCTGCTTTTCACAAGCTCATGTACTTTGTACTGAACATCTAATGCAGTTTAAATGCATGAAGTGTTGGCATCCACATGGCTTCACAAATATTAAGCTCTGTCACAGTGTCTCAGTTCAGTAAAGCTTGGTGGTGTTCACGCTACGTTTCCAATAGTAGAAACTAATTCATGCGAGCAGAGATCTGTTAGAGAAGTTACTTTGACTCTGTATCTGCATATACAATAGACTATCAACAATAGAAAATGACAATTTAGCAGTGAGAGTTGTTTAAAACAAATTAGGATGTTGCCAGTTGATTGCAAAATTCTGCAACCAGCAGAAACACCTCGCAGGAATTAGAATGTTTCAATTTTACTTCCAAGCTAGTAGTAGTGACTAAGATCCTACTGCATTCAGAAGACTTTTTCTAGGTTAGCAGTTGCATTATCTACATGTTCAAGACAATACAATGCACGTAATGTTATATATACAGGTAAGACTTAGATAAGTGCTCAATTTAAAACACAACATATTTTATGCCAGTCTGTATGAAAGTTCATGCAAAGATATCATGTTACTACAGGACAGGATAGAGGACAGGTGAGAGGGGAAAAATAAAACCATTAGAACTTTATGTGCACAAGGGAACATCAACTAATCACATTTTCTCTGAAGTTCAGAGTAACATACGGAAGCTGCTGATCTTCCAGGTCCCCGCTGTGCTACAATGGCCCCAGAAATTGCTTTTATCCAACTGTGCATATCTTCTGGACTGTCCGCCTGGATCAAACAACATGCATTGTATTTAACATGATCAACTTGCAAATGTCCCAGTGTCCTGACCATCTGCATTAAAATGACAGCCTTACCCTACTTCAGTAGTCTGTTATTTAAGAAATGGAAGTCCCTGTGGCTTTAACCCTGGCATTTCTTACAATCTCACCCTGAATTTACTATATGTATATAGCTATATACAGTATTAAGCAAGAAGTATTTTTATACTATTTGCATACTCCAGACTCAAAGCTTTACTTCCAGCAAACAAAAAAAAAAAAAATAATCAAAGCACCCACAGAAATTCTTACAGATCTGACTCCTCTTAAGCAGATTTTGGCCAACAACATAACTTCTGTACTCTTCAGTCACTGCTGCACTTTACTTCTGTGAGGTATTTACTGAAGAGTTGCAGTCAAATAAAAACCAGTCTCTGTTCGGGGTCAGCTGTACATTTACTTAGCACAACAATCCAGCACAGATGCAAGACGAACACTGAATACCAAGGGTGCACTGGGATAAAGGCAGATCAAAAGCTAAAGCTATGTCCTAATTAGGCTGCAGCTTTATTAAACTAGAACATCCACCCAGCAAGAAGCATCTGCAACATGTCAGTTATACTCAGCTCATAACTCAGCATCTGGCACCACTGCCTGTATTAGACTATACAGACCTTTCTGATCCTATAAGGGAAACTCTTATTTCCAGTACTATGAGCATCACATTCCCATGTAGCTAGGAAAAGCAAGTCTTTGTGATTTGTAGAAGGTAACATGGTAAGGATGCAGTGGATAAAGTGCACATGGATCTACATTACTAAATAGGTATGGATATCTAAATGTTGCTGTGCTTTAGTAGGTATTTTAATGTGGAAACTAACTTGAATTTGAGAAATCTGTTACTAGATCTAAAAATCCAGTACTTCAGAATAAAAGATTTAATATATAGAGTTGATCCTACAGAATGTGAAGACCCAAATGCCAACAAAATCACATTAGGATTTATTGTTCAGTATTTTCATACACTACCAACACAACACTTGCTCTTATGGGGAGGATTTCTTATATGCATCTTTCTGAAATGTAACAGAAATCACAGTCCTTCTGAAAATCACAGCAGAGTTAAGTACAACTTTAAAACCAAAACAGCAGTGCTGCTTTGCTTTGACTATGGTAGTCTCTTTGTTTTGCCCAAAGTTTAAAAAACAGAAATTACCTGTACATAAAAGGTTCGAGAAGTTGTTACAATTTCAAAGAGATTGTCTCTCATCATTATATCACTGTAAATGAAGCACAAAAATAGTTCAACAGCAAGTACAACTTTCCCACTTTATTTTACAGAGACTTTAGGATGTGCAGAAAGCATTTGTGGTCTGAAGACCTCTGCATCTCCTTATCACTCTACTGTTGGTTTTTTGGTAAATACCAAATAGGAAAAAGAAAACCAGCATCTCTTAACTCATTTTAGCCCCAAGACTCTTCAGTTTATCAATGGCATGTGTGATACTATATCCATTTTTAATTGGAACATTCTAAAGCATATGTTACATTGAAAAACATTATTCTAGTCAAATTTTTGTAAGTTTCACATATATTTTGTTTATGTCTTCACAAAGTATTAGTCCTAAACAGTAGCCTGGTAAAGAAACCAAACTCAATATCCATCATAACTACTACAAAGGCAATTCATTCCTTTGTGTATTGCCATTTGGTGGGATGGAAACTAGAGGAGGAATAGCGTTCTCATCTAAATTCAGACACTTAACATAAGGTAATAGCCTCTGAAGGTTTAGAGATTATAGAAGCAGAATAGAGACTCATAAAATTGCTGCCTCAAATCAGACTGCACCCATGCATCTCTAACTCATGACTGCATGATATCCCTTTGTTCCACCCTTGCCCAATGCATTTACATTCTATTGAATGTTGCAAGTTTGAAACAGACACTAATAGAGAACCATCAAAACCAGTTTGATGCACAAACTGCCTGCTGTCCTAGAAATAAAGTATCACGCATGCATACACCAACTGAAGGTATCAAAGTTCTCTGTTGTTTCCAAGGAGCAGGCTGCTCATGACAAAGCAGTGTACTACATCCTACGTAACAGCATCAGTACTTCTCTCCTCACCTTTGTTTGCATTCCTGAACTTTATGGACCTCCTTAAGCGGTATGACCCTGAGAGGTTCCTTTTCCTGAAAAGAAGGCAAAGTATTTCAGTAGAAAATATCTAACAACTACAAGACAGTCAGAAAGCCAGAGGTCAGGACAGCTGACAGCAGCAGAGTTAGATAAATGAGACTTTCAAGGCAGTCACTTATGTAAAAGGTGGTGGCAACCTACATTGAAGCTGCTTTTGTAAGTATTAAACTAACAATGGTGCTTGCAATGAAGAAGAAGCCAAATCAAGAAGTAAATAACACAAAATCATTCATTCACCTTACTGTAAAGAAAGACAACCACCCCTAAGCAGACCAGAAAACTGAATCTGGCCTCAAGCAGCTTATTTCAGTACAATGATCATTATATATATTTGCTATGAAATGCTACAATACAGGATGCTTTGCACTGACATGGCTTTAAATAAGATGAACTGTATCCTAGGCTCCATATAATTAAAAATAACAGACAAATCAGTTGTACCAAAAACCTGTAACAGAGCATGAATTCTTAAAGCATATGAAAATTCTGTTACTGTAACAAAAACAAGTGTTACAATTCTGTCAAAGTGTCACAAAGAGGAAAAAAGTGAGAACATTCAAGCAGAAATACTTTCACTTTTGCCATGACAACGTGATGTCACACATACTATTATTTTCCTGTGGTTGTTGCAGTCAAACACAAACAAACCCAACTTACTTTACCTCCTACTGTGTCTTCTTTAAGCAATGTTACAATGGGTGACTTCAGCTTCAGCTTATGGTCAAAACAAAAGCTGTCAGCTCTGAATGACTCTCTCTACAGTTTCTATTACATATATTTAAGAGATTAATGTCGTTAGAGCAAACAGTGAATGTCACCTAAATATAACCATCCTCAAATGTCAGTTTTCATTAGATCACTTGTCTCTATAGCAGATCAAATGTATGTATTATAGGCAATGAGTCAGAATTGTGTTATGCTGAAGCTTTAACAAACATAATGATGCAAGACCAAACTCCTGCTACTGTTTACTCTCTCATCAAAATAAAACAAAAGTTCTCTTCAGAAACAGCCTAAAATGTGGGTTCTTGACATTTTGTATCTTACAATTGGCCTCTAAACTCAAATTTACATAATTCCTACTACTCTGCAACTCAAACTTCATTCCTTAGCTACATATTTTCCCATGCTTAGTAAGTGTGGGATTCCTTAGGGGAAAACAGACTGCATCCAGTACCAGCCACTTGCCTGAATGCACTTAATATTTGGTCAAAATTAGTTAAAAGGTTGATGAGTGATGAGCGGGGAAGAAAGATCATGAAACCCAAACAAACTGTAAGTGTTGCTGCTGAACAGCTGAGTTCTTTGCCTGTCTTGGCTGCCCTGGTGACACAAGTGATGGGAAAAGATCCCATTATTTGTATAACAAACCACCCCACTATTCTAACTTGAAATTAAGAACAGCAAGATGACAGTTTTGTCTCTCCAGTGGCCAGGAACACAATTAGTGAGTGCAAAGTGACATAAGATGCTAATACAAACATCAGGGTGATTGTACAATACATCCTATTCCTCTTTATCAGTGCCCTACAGAGAGATCCCCAAAGAGAAGACTGAAGTCCAAGTTAACAGCCACCTTATTAGTTTTTTCCCATTCATGGAAAGTTATTCCAGCCCACAGTTCAGAGCTGCAGTAGCAGCACTGCACATTTTTCATATACAAACATATTTCTTCAGATTTTCTTGCAAGTATCACTGGATAACATTGGAAAACAACACATACTGGAAAACTTACCAGTTCAGACTTAAAATATCCTATTGTGTTTTCATCTAACTGAAAGTATCTTCTCTTCCAGTTCTTCATCTGTTAAAGGAAAATATAAGAATTATAGAATCGTAGAATAGTTCGGGTTGGAAAGGACCTTAAGATCATCTAGTTCCATCACCCCCTCTGCCATAAGCAGGGACACCACACACTAACCTATGCCGCCCAAGGCTCTGTCCAGCCTGGCCTGAAGCGCCTCCAGGGTTGGAGCATTCACAACTTCCTGGGGCAACCTATTCCAGTGCCTCACCACCCTCACTGTGAAGAACTTCTTCCTTATATCTACCCTAAAGTTCCCCTGTTTAAGTTTAAAGCCATTCCCCCTTGTCCTACCACTACAGTCCCTAACGAAGAGTCCCTCCCCAGCATCCTTGTAGGTCCCCTTCAGATACTGGAAGGCTGCTATAAGGTCTCCACGCAGCCTTCTCTTCTCCAGGCTGAACAGCCCCAACTTTCTCAGCCTGTCTTCATACGGGAGGTGCTCCAGTCCTCTTATCATCCTCATGGCCTCCTCTGGACTTGCTCCAACAGCTCCATGTCCTTTTTATGTTGAGGACACCAGAACTGGACACAATACTCCAAGTGAGGTCTCAATTCATATATAACATGTAAATATATTTGTATTTTATATATTAGGCTTCTATTTATAATTTCAACTTATAATTCTAGTTCATATTTCTAATATGTGATATTATATAATTCCTATTTATAGTTATTAATCTATCATGTTTATTTGCAGTATATCACAGACTGGTTTTGGTTGAAGGGACTTTAAAGCTCAGCCAGTTCCAACCCCCTGCCATGAGCAGGGACACTTTCCACTAGAGCAGGTTGCTCAAAGCTCTAATTTATTGAGACGTGTGATGTGTATTAATATAATGTCTCCAAAATAATTCTGCAAGACTTTATCCTATTAATTTATATTTTTTTTTAAGCTGCTAAAATTAAAGATTCTGGAAGCTATGTTCTGTTGTAGGAATTGTTCAGCTATCTCCTTTGAAGCTGTAGCAACCTAGCAGCACAAATACCCACTGGGAACGTTAAAAGACAGTACATGAAAGGTTTCTAGTTTATTTTTATAAATTTAAAAATAAGGAATGTTATAGAAGAAGCTTCATAATCCAAGATAAAATTAGCCTGAGAAGTCACGAAGCATCTTGCTAATCTGAACTATCTGTTCCTTCTATTAGCAAGGCATCATGTGAATAGTTCCACTTGTGTTAATCAGCCTGGCAGGTCGTATAATTCTTCCTCTGAACTGCAATATTAGCTTTTTTGAAGCATTTTAGTGATTTAAAAAGCATGCAGACATTGCACTTCTGCCTTAATTTAGCTGCTTCTAATATGGTAAATAAGGATCTCTATATTAAACTGCAGGACAAAATAATTCCTAGTGGCATACACTAACCATGATGGAAAAGCCTCTGTGCATTCACTTGTCCTCTCCAAAGTCTCCAACAATATAACACTGAAGAATGTTGTGAAAAGAAGTAATATAGCAATAAATTACATGCTACTGGAGGACGAGTTTTCTCTTTAGCCATCCTTAATGTTGTTGGTTGTGCTAAAGTTACTGGCAATTATGTCTTTTTTAACTATCTATTTGGTAAGTAAAACTACCACCTTAGGACCTTTGATTAGTGAAACATACTGATCTCAAATACTTACCACTGCTCCTTGTTTTACACAGTAACCAGCTTTGATAATAGCATTATCTGGGGGATGCTTAGCAGAAAAATAAGGAAGGTGACTTTGTGACCGTTTCAAATAATTCCTGTCACCCCCTTCACTGCACTCACTGGGTTCTTCTTTCTAGAAAAAAGCAGGAAAGTTCACAATACTCTCAGTTTTTTCTCTAAAGGTTAAAGAATAACTGTACTAGTTGTAATAAGGAAGAATGGCATCATTCCATGCTCATAAATCCCACTTCTAATTTGTTTGAAAGGACAAAATACTTCAACTGATATCTAGAGACAACTAGTGAGACTCTCAAGGGCTCTTGAGTACTTGGCAAGCTCCATTTAGAAACTAAAACAAGAAAGTGTTGGGTATCCTCAAGCAGTATTGACAGATACCCAATGAACATTACAGACCTAAACCCAAGATATATACATGTAATTAGAGCAAACACATAACATGACTAAGTGCAAAACACTAGAGGTGGCTACATCAGAGAAAAGTCTATTTCTAGGACCATAAGAAACATCAGAATCCACCAACTTAAAATCAGTTCAGGTCTATACATGTAATTTACATGATATTAATCCAATCTGTAACTGTTCAGCTCAGGGAACTTCCAGAAACAGATACAGTTCTGTATCTTTAACACTGCATAGATTCTTCTTCCATGAGCTTGTCCACTCTCAAACTCGGGCATCCATCCCATCTTTCAGCAAGGAGTACCTTATGTTTTATTACTCACTGAAAGATCTCCTTCCCTTTGTTTCACCTGGTTACACCACTACCTTTGTTTAAAAGCTCATAGATCTCATACTGGAACACAGTTGCACATGGACCAGTTATCCTTGAAATCCTTCTCTGAACCTTTCCAGTTCTTGTTTTTAAGGTGAAAACAAAACTGGTCACAGTAATCAAAGTCTGGTCAAAGACAGGATTTATACAGCAACAAAGATGTTTGCTGTGCAGTTCCTTATTCTTTTTCTAGTAACTCCTAGTATTTATGGGGTTTTTCCTCCACTGTTACTGAACACTAAGATGTTTTCAGAGTGTGACCATAACTCTAAGCTCTCAAGTGGAAATGGTTATTTCACAATCCAGTATTTTCTGTAACAACTAGGATTGTTTTTCCCAAAATCCCTTACATCATATTTATTTTCACTGAATTTCACTTATTTGCCCACACATGCCATCTCATAAGGCCCTTCTGCAATAGTCTAATTTGCTGTCATTCCTATTACCTCTAATAATATTGTGTATATACAAGCAGCTGACATTATCACCTCCTTTCTTTGCCCACTTTTCCTGGCAGTCAAAAAAGACGGAACTTTGGCATTGTTACCACCAAGAGTTCATTTCACACACACAAAAAGATGTTTTCAGCATACTAACCAATATCTCTGAGCAAACCGCCCCCCCATACTCAAGTAATTATTTGTAATCTTGTATAATTTTTGTATAAAAGGAATAAAATCCTCAAAAAAACCCCAGCTTCCCCTAACAAATAACAGCCCGCTCGTTTGAAGCGTATTGGTATTACCTGGGTAGGTGTAATGATAGGAACACCACCAACAATTTCTGTCCTGTAAGAGACTTGCTTCTTTCCACCTGGACTTTCAGCTTGACGATTTGCATTATCCATCTGACAGAGAGGATCAGACTGCTTTGGTACCTGAAAGTGAAATATTGTAATTAAGCTCAGTTTTATGAAGACCTAAAAAAGCTCTAATCATTACTAAAGATTTTTTCATTTGATTTTCAGAAAAATGTTCTCTAATTATAAAAGGCTAGAAACAGCTTACATGAAAGTCTGTTGCAATGGCTATGCTTTGGTTCTTGGAAGATGTGGTGGTGTCTTGACCATTTCACCAGGTGTCTTGACATCTAAAAACCAATTCCCAGCTATGCCATAAGTGCTATAGTTGATCTTCAAAAAGCACTGCTAATCTGTAGAAGAACTGGGTCTTTATTTTTCACTTGCTTTCAGTTTTAGTAGCAGATACTTTAGACTGAGGATGCCCCAGAGCAGCACAGTATGGCCACAAATATGGGGTTACAGCACTGAGACTTGTATCAAAGTAAGACACCTGAGCAGTGTGTACTCATATTCCAAGACTTGGCATGAAGACTGTGTGTACTATCTCCATGAATCCTGCATATATTGCTAAACTCTGTCCAAAATCAGCATAACTATTTCTATTATTAGCTAATTCTCTCAAATGTGGAACTAAAGCAATCAAAACACCACAGGAATTTAATTTCCCAATACGTGTTTTGATCTAAAATGTTTACTCAAATTTGAGTTTGTGCAAGAAGTAAATACCTGTAACTCAAGAAATGCACTGACTGGCTACCTAAGACATTTATTTATCATCTCCTTTCACCCCTAATGTTAATATAGTAAATTTGAAGCAACTTCAACAAGAAGATATCAAGAGTCTCACACCAAAATATTCCAGCCAGCAACTTGTTGGATATTTACACAGGACATGCAGATTCCTTCAGAAAGGGACACGCAAACGGTCTTTACACAGTGAGTTGCCATCCAAAACTGTGGCACATTCAGAAGTTGAAGCTGAACTGACCTAGACAAAAACAAAGCTACTTTATAGTCTGCTGTGATTCTAGTTCCTATGCCCAGGACTGCTTAATTTACAGAAAAACAGCCTGCAAAGAAGTACAAACAGTCCTGAGAGCCTGGGACAGCTACCCCCTTCACTTGGCCAAGTGAAGGCACCACTCAGCAGCTTCTCAGCTGTGGTGTCCGGCTCATTCTCACTTCCACCAAGGAACAGCCTTGCACAACACCCAGCTTTGCCAGCACAGGTAAAAGGGAACTCTATTCACAGCCAAGTTTGGTGCTGAAGAAAACTCTCTCCTAGTGTGCACAGATCATTGGCCTCAGCCTTTCAAGAGAAAGGGGTTGTAGCTACAGCTTTATGGGTAAGTGCTTCAGTTGTCAAACTCCTACTTAAAATGTTACAGACCAACTCCACAACCACCTTCTGACAGGAGTGCATTTTCAAACAGCACTCAAACGGGTACACAATGTGCTAGACTGCAGAGGTTCATAGTTATTTTGAAGTTATCAGCACTCATAGTACTGAAAAACGCAAGAAGTCTTGGAGGATTACGATCTACAGCAAGTAATGCTCCTGTGAAAATTAAGAATTGAATGATCTTGGTTTGTTCCTTCAAAGGCAAAAAATTAGAACTTGCAGACTAAATTCTAACCTGATGCAATTAATTCTTTATTCACCCTGTTTCTTGAGCTGGCAATAACTCAATCCTGGTTGTGGTGTCCTCCTTATGAAAAACCCAAGCGAGAAGGCTTTGAGTTTCTGTTCTTTTTATTTATTAATAGTAATAACAGTTTTATACCTCAAAAAAAAAGGGCTACACTAAAACACCACAAACAACTCATGGAAACATCCTTAGATAACTTAAAAATGAGAAAGTTGCTGATAACAAACATGAATGGGTGTATCCATGCTCAGAACCCCTTCTTTGTAAGGGAATTCTCTCAAAACAGTTGTCATCACTTCCCAAAACTGGAGAGAAACAAAACCGTAACTTCTGCCTCCTGCAAAGACTGAGGTAATATGTGGGATTTCCTATCATGTGATAACCAGCTGCCCTAATGCAAACCAGGAAAGTAATTTAATACTAATCAGAAGAATGCATTAATGTTTCTTTGACTGGATCTTACTTGAAACAAGGAAAGAGCCTTTGGAACATGGCTCGTGTTTGCTCAGTAGTTTAGTGATACCTTAAGAAGAACTTTTGACAGCAGGCAAATGCATGTGTATCTTCTCCCTGCTTGCAAGTTTCTTCTGGATATTTCAATTAATATTAAATGTGTATGATTAATTTAAAATTATCAGAAACTGTTATATGCTGTAATGAAAAAGAGAATCATATCTTTGTTCTAAAGCAAAAAGTAACAAATTCAAGTTTGGGAGAGTTCTGCACACTCTTCCAAGTCTTGGAAAGCCAAGCCAAGAATTGTTTGTAGAGATAAAGAACTACTGTAGCATAAAAAACTGTAGGCAAAGCACATTTAAGCATCTTGAGACAGTCACCATTTGAAAGCATTGCTAAATAGCAACAAAAGCACTTACTGTGATTTTGGTAGCTTTGTTCAGAACATTCACCCATTCAACTAGGTCCTGCTGATCATTGGCTTGTAGAAAGTATTTTCTCATCCCTGCATTCATAACTGTTGAAAACCATTATGAAAAGTTAACATTTGAGAGCAAAGTTAAGAACTTCATAGAATATTTGATGTCAGATTGAAAATCCGGTTGTATTTAAGCTGACACATTTTTTAGAAAAATCATCTTAAGCTACATACATGCACTTGACAGACTTAATCTATTCTACAAGAAACCCCCTATTTCTCTTCTCTATTTTCTAAGCATCATACAGAATGTCAAATTCTTTTTATTCCATAGAAAAAGCCTTGAATTTTATCAGAACTTTGTACAGCTCCATTTCCCTTTTCTCAATTTCTGTAAGCACCAAAGTTTTACACTGGGACTTCTATAGGTTTCCCCTGTTAATCCTATGACCAGTATCTGTTCCCCTTTGCAACAAACTCGATGTTACTATGATAACTACTATTTTTTCTTTAAAGGTGTGGAAAAATCAGTATTGATTACTAAGTATTTGATACTCAGGACCAAACAACTTTAAAATAGCCAGAACATAGAAGTTTATTTTTTATCTACTTGGCAACACCTAGCTTACCTTTATCCAAAAAGGACAAACATATTTCTGTGTACCAGTACAAACACCATGGTTAGTTTTCTCACAAATTCTAAGAACTTCAGTTGAAATTAGTATTAGGGTGAACAGTAACTAAAACCTTCTCAGAACTTTAAAGTCTGAACAGATTTCACTGCTCTACCTATAACATAACAGTTCTTCAGGTCATTGCTAACAGCAAACGCATGCCAGGAACAGATGCTTTTTACTCTTCTATCATCTTTCTCCCCAAAGAGGGTGAAGCAAACATGATTAAATACAAATATAAACTCAAAATACAGAACTGTATAATGAGCTGACTGAAACAACTCCCACTATTTGAATAAAAAGACAATAAATGTAAATTTTTCCTCTAAAAAGCATCAAAACCACTTTAATAAATCAGAAACATTCAAAGCTTTCAGCTAGCATCTTGGATCATTGAGGCTTTTTAGAGCTGGCCCACTAACAAGAACAACTTTACAGCTGGCAAACACAAACACCTCCCCACATGCATGTGCAGAGGAATCTGTAAATGGCACTGAATTAACACACTAGGTGCTAGTCTAAAATCCTTGAAGCCTTACACATTGTAGGGGTGATTTACCAAGTGTTTTTCATGAGCTTCAACGCAAGAGACTACACAAGTCAGGCAGAGTGGCCTTCTCCGGGCCTGTACAACACTCCACATGGTAAAGGACACCTTAAGTAACTGTCTTAAACCTTCAGGCATTTTCAGTACCTTCACCTCAGCTAGAAGTCTTACATGAATGCAGCCATAACCATAGAGAATGGTTATTCTTAAACAGAGCAGAGGCTGATTCCAGTCTCTATACACACTTCGTGAACGTCAAATGCTTGTCAAAAAAAGGTTGGAATTATATTAAATTCTGGGCAAATTACTTATAAGGGGTTTTTATGATCATCTAAAGCTTTACTCAAGTTTCAACAAGTTTAAGTATCAAACTAACAGGTACCCAAAGCAAATTTTCTCCAGTGCAGCAAGAGAGGCTGAAATTTAACAAGAGCACTGGCTGACTGTATTTTTAGATTAATTCTTTTATCAGTAATACAGATTGAAATAGTTAAATTACTTGTCTTCAGAGCTGACAAGCATGCCATGCTTTTGAAAACACCCAGCATTTTCCATTAGCTTATTAATGCCTCAAAAATGTCAAGCATCTGAAAACCAGCTCTCACCTACTCCTCACTGAACTGCAGTATGAAAAACCACAAGAACACCTTATGAAGAAGCCAACATTTTAAAGCTATACACTTCCAGCTACATCTAGTGAATTACACAACATTGTATTTGGTTTTGAAGAATGTACTTGATGCACATGCTGTGTGCAAGAACTTACCAAAACAGAACTCTGCCTTTGGCCTTAGCTTAGTTGCATCGCTAACCTAGTGAGGAAATTCAGATTATAAATATCACTGTGCATACAAAATGTACATCAGATACCACATTTTTTCTCTTTCAAGTGGCTACATTTGAAGATCAGCAGCACAGCAAGCTTGCTAGATATAAAGATATAACAAAATATACTACATAAAATTCAGTTCAAGATGTGCAACCTATGGTAAGAAACAGCTTCCGCCATATGTTCCTGTTCCTTAAGTTTAAGGATTCATTACCAAATGTTGAAATCTGGAAAAATAACACTTCTACTTTTAACACTTGTATTTCAAAATTCTACATCTCAACTGAACTGAAGATTCAAGGACATTTCATACTGTCAAGGACATCAGTTGTATTTTGGTTCATTAACATGAAAATACTAGCGGCCACTTTTCTTCGGGAGTCCCTGAAATGTTGCACTGCTGGGGGGAAGAGAAGCAAGTGTCCTGTTTTGAGAGAGGCACTGACATTTTTACACTACAGAGCACTTCTATCAAGGGTGAGGGAGAAGGCAAAGCAGCCTCTCACATCAAACCCTTTTCTGGGCCAGAAACAGGAAAAAACACATAGACATAACTAGAAAAACTATGGGAAGTTAGAGCATCCACCCAGGAGGCACACTTGAGCTGCAGCAAAGGTGCACACAGGCACAGGCGACCACCCCTGCTCCCATTTAAAGTGAGACGCAAGGTTCTGAAGGGGACAACTGTGAGCTCTGGGCCAAGGTAAGCCCAGAAGGAAAACAGGAAGGACATAAACAGGTCTCCACGGACACTTCTGTACTCATGATATAAGCAGCTCCAAGAATATCTTCTACAGGAATAAGAAGTAAAATGGAAGGTGGGAAGATTCAGTAGGACAAGAAAAGCAAAGGAAAGATGAGAAACGAGCAGAAAACCAAGAGGAATCAGTTATTTTTCCCCACTTATTTGTTAATACAGTTTCTACTACAAATTTAATAATGGAGACTTTCTTAGTTCAGTTTTCTTTCAGACATATTTGCATGTGAGTGTACACAGAGTGTAATGAACTAAGTAAAAGTTAGAAACTTTGCTGGTCTATTAAAGAACATTATTACTTGCAAATTATCACACCCAAAGACTTAATCTTCCACTTCATAAAAAGCCTGTCTTTTCTCCAAGACTAATTGGAATTCAAATACTTATAAAGAACTGAAACATACAGTTCAGAAATATTAATTCCATGCAGCACAAAGAGCTGTCATTTGAAACCACAAACCAGACACAGACAACAGGGTAATGAGTCTGTTCTTATTTTAACCTGGTACCACTGAAGTGTCTGTGACACTTCTCTAGAACTCAGGAGCAGCAGACAAGCCAAAAGCTTTCCATGCACTATGTAAAAGGCATCTGAAGTTGTCTAAAGTTGAGGACTTCAGTAGTTCTCACCAATAATTTAGCACCAAGTGTCTTACATCTTACCTTTGAAATATAGGTAAGTTTAATGACTCCCACAGGTGGAGATCCAGAGGGAAGATTCTGCAACAAATCATATGTTACTAAGTGAAACTAGTTTATTCTAATCTCATAGTCAGTGTTTATGCATAAAAAGCAAATAATTCCCCAAACAAAAAGAAAATCCTACGTGTTTTTATAGACAATACACAATGTATGCTTGGAACAGAATCTAAACTACTTGTTTATTGTACACACATCTGTTAATCCACTAAAAACAGAAAGACCACTAGGAACAATACAAATAGTAATTGTTTCAGAGGTTTATGTATTTTACTAGAGGAAAAAGGATTCTTGCAGGTCTGCATCCAGGAAATCCGGAAAGAATACTTTTTCCTTAACAGATGTTGGAGTCTTATGTATTTTGACCAGGGCAGGCGGAAGGGACAAGAAGTGACATTCATCTATTATGTCAGATACTTCAAAGGCTGTCTTACATATTTTCCAAATGGATTGAAATATCACAGTCTTTTCGTTTAATACTAAAGTCATTGCAGGGAAAGACCATGACACTTCCTAAAGCTGCAGTTAAGCCTAAAATATATCCAAAAAAGGAACTCTCCATTGTTTTTACATCCTTGCTTAACATACTATTTAGTCTTAACATTAACATTAGTATTCACAATTCTTAGTAACTTAGAAAGACAAGAGTTAAAGAACTGAGCAACACAAAACATGGTTAACACTATCATTAATTCCGATGGAACAGTCTTCCTAATTTTATTCTGTTAAACAGTGTTGTTTTCCATATACTTTTTTCATAGAATCCTAGAATAGCTTTAAGTGACCTTAAAGCTCATCCAGCTCCAAGCCCCTGCCACGGGCAGGGACACCTTCCACTAGAGCAGGTTGCTCCAAGCCCCTGTGTCCAACCTGGCCTTGAGCACTGCCAGGGATGGGGCAGCCACAGCTTCTCTGGGCACCCTGTGCCAGCGCCTCAGCACCCTCACAGGGAAGAGCTTCTGCCTCAGAGCTCATCTCAATCTCCCCTCTGGCAGGTTCAAGCCATTCCCCTTGTCCTGTCATGGTCTTTTATGCTGCAGTATCATTCTTCCGACTACATGCCTCCCTGGAAGTCCTATGATCCTATACTGCATCTGCTTGCTAATCCTTTCCCCAGCTGAAGTGTCCTTCATTATTGCATAGTGCCTAATGTACTTGTATATCCCAAAGAGAAGCCTTAATGCTACCTACAGAGTCAGAAAGACAGACAAATACTGGTTTACGCTCCATTCATATATCAACAGTAAGAAGTGGGTTCTTACTATAGGCTTACTATAGACTGGTAACACTGAAATTTTTAAAAAAAGAGTTCTTTCCATTCTACTCAAATAAATTAACTTTTACTTTATCCAAATTATTTACATCCCAGCATATACTAGTTTTATATTAGGATAGTAGTGTGGTTATTGGTGGGCTTAAAACCATTATTTTCACAGCTACAAATAGAGCACTTCTTTTAGCAACAAAGAGCCCAGTGAAGTTCTGCACACACTGTAGACTCATCCTACACAAAGAGTTTCATCACTTCAAGGATTTAGAGTGGTCTCTAACAGTTGCTCTGCATTGCTCTTCAAAACTAGAACAGTGGAAGAAAATCAAGAAGCTTCAATGTGCCCCTTGCAAGGCACCCATTCACTTGTACATGAATGCTAACACCATAAAATACATAAGAAAGCCTAAATTAAAACCTCTGAGGTGTGCAGTACAAATATTAGTGTTAAAACTCTCTGGAATTTCAATTTCTACAGCATTTCAAGCTTTTGCCCACATGCCCTGGTTAGATCACAGGAGAAACTGAAGGAAAGAATTGCTTTGTCTCACTCACTGAGATCAAACGTTTGATCTCAGTGTTTGATCTCTTCTTTACAGAAATTCTTTCATTTTTCTCCTCAGTAAGAGCTGCTCTCAGCAACAGCTTCAGTCACAAGCCACATTCATGGGGCTGTGCACGGTTGAAACAGCTCTTTTTGCTGTTGGTTCCTTTGAACAGTAGATTTCTACTGCGTTTTAACTCTGGTCTTCCCAGCAGAATGGTACATTCTCCTGGCAGACTGACCCAGATCCCGTGCTTTCACTGCCTCTGCACCCAAACCTTAACCAACTATCTGTTCTCCCCTGTGCTAGAAAACACACTGATGCATGTACATTGTAAAAGTAGCTCTTACATAAAAGATGCTCTTCATCATGATGGATACAAGCTTTCCTCATTCATCTATCATTCATGCTGTATTGAAACTGCAAGCATCGCTATAAATTGCTTTTCAATGACTGGTTTTGTTGAGGTAAAATAATGTAAAACAGGCAACTGATCCATATAAGAAAAACTACAGTTTCACAAAAGGTTACAGGTGGATTACATGGTATGTGTAGTGAAACAAGTATGTAGTCTGGTTGTATCATACAGCACTAACTAGTGCCTGAGAGAACCTGTAATGAACGTTCAAGGCACTTAACATAAAATATAGTATATCATGATTCAAAACTAATGACTGATTTCTACATGGGATTATATACAGATTCCTGTCTCATCCCTAGATCTCCTGATAATACTTAGATTCCATATATTGGGAATTCACTGATGTTCGTAGAATCATAGTATGGTTTGGGTAGGAAAGGACCTTAAGATCATCCAGCTCCAACCCCCTGCCATGGGTAGGGACACCTTCCACTAGAGCAGGTGGCTCCAAGCCCCTGTGCCCAACCTGCCCTTGAACACTGCCAGGGATGGGGCAGCCACAGCTTCTCTGGGCACCCTGTGCCAGCGCCTCAGCACCCTCACAGGGAAGAAATTCTTCCTTATATCTAACCTGAACTTCCCCTGTTTCAGTTTGAACCCATCACCCCTTGATCTATCACTACAGTCCCTGATGAAGAGTCCCTCTCCAGCATCCCTGTAGCCCCCTCCAGATAGTGGAAGCTGCTTCGAGGTCTCCACACAGCTTCTCTTCTCCAGGCTGAACAGCCTCAACTTTCTCAGCCTGTCTTTGTATGGGAGGTAATTCACTGATGTTCAAGCTGCTGTTACTGTTTTACTACGAAGCTTGGGTTCAAACTTAAGTAAATTTGTAATCTGAAAATGTGGTAATTGATACGGCCAGAAAGCTGCCAAGAATATCTCACCTGTGGGTTATCCATGTACCACACCAGACTGTCTTCTCTTGTGTCCAGAATGAAGTACCGCCGCAGAAACTTCCCACTATTCTCATTTTCTTCAATATCCAGGAATCCACAGATGCGATTCTGACGATCCACATAAGGCATTTCTGACCCTGGACATCACACTGCAGAACAAAAAGCGTAGAAGTCAAGCAAAGTTCCTCCTTACTAATTTTAAGCCTGTTCTGTGCCTACCCATGACATTTTGAGCAGTTTCAACTCGTAGCTTAAAGAAGTTTCTGCAGAAGAGTAAGTGAAGCATAGCTGTTCCCCACCCCCGCTATCACCACTGAGTTTTTAGATAGGTCTTTCCTACTTCTTTGAAGCATATAATAAGAATATCTAACACCCTAAGCGCAAAGAGACAAGTGGTAAATAGCAGATAAACATCAAGACCAGCTTCTACAAGATCACTACAGAGTAATCAAAGATTCTCCTCCACAACTTGCACAAAGTTGAGCTAATGCTAGGTTTACACTTCCTTCTTCCACACTGCCTTTCATGGTCAAGAAAAGATCTTTGTCAGCAACTCTGCTGTCCAACGCTGATTTCTCATATTTTGCTTAGGCAAATTCAACAAACGGGCTTTTAGAAACACTGCTCACATTTTTCTTGTCTCCTACTAAAAGAACTTCATGCCTAACAATGTCTAAGAACAGCTGTCTTTTCATCCTCATGTGTTAAATAATCATCAAAATGAAGTTGTACATGCAGCAGCAACGATATGAAGGCACTTGCTGGCTCAAAACTGAACTCCTCCACATCCATGTGGTACTATGTTTGAGGGTTCTAGGCTTGGTTTTGGGTTTATTTTGGGGTTTGGTGGGGGGAGGTTTGCCTTTTTTGGTTTTGCTTTAGAAAAATAAGAGCTATAAAGCTATCCTGCTGACCACCTTCTCCCATTTCGCCTGCTTCACCTTTTATGGCTGTGTCTTGCTGCAGGCTATTGCATCATGGTTTCTTGCTTCCTTTTATTTTACAAGGACAGTCATTTTACCTTCAGAGCCATGTAAGACCAGAGAGAAATTTGCATACTCAGCTAAAAATGGCAATAACCCAACATTTAAATATGATAAAAATCAGATTGGTGCCAATCTTTCTCAGAGTAGGGAAGACACAATTCAGTCTTCTTTCCATTTTGTTACAAACCTCAGAAATACAGTACATAACTGGGAAATACTACAGGTCAAAAAATATTCAATATGAGCCATAGAAGGTTTAAGTACTTCACACTTTTTGTAACAGCTTCCACCTTTCACTGTGTAAGATGGAAGTTTCTTTTTAATATTCCTTAAAATTGTCTACCTTTCCTATTTCCTTAAAGTTATTTGATTTCAGTATAGTTATATACACACACACAAGGCAGACACCTGATAACTATCCATAGATATTGATATACCACAGTAAAACATGATACATGGTTTCTAAAGTGGTTAGGGGAATCAGGTATGCAGATAAGCATACATTTATTTTGGGGGATCAGATACACAAACATGCAGATATATGCTTGTATTTACAGCTGTTATACGACTATTCAGAATACCAGTCAAATTTTGCTTTAACATTTTGAGAAACATTTTTCTTTATATCCATTATTATGATTTTGATACCATAGTGGACAATTTTAAGTCATTTAACTCAATCTGTAAAATAACTAAGCTTTTTTGTACCCAATACCAAACTAATCTTCTGCTGCAAACTCAAGTCTGATACATTAAGTTTGGCATCAGGGACCAGATCTACCAATCTCAATTCAGTAGTTGAAGAGATTGTAGTATCATGGTGATGCCAGACTATTAAAAACATTAGTGGTTTGGGTGGTTTTTAATATAAGCTGTTAGATTTTGAAGTTAAATGCATTTTTGTGTATAACAAAGTTAACACACTTTGTTTTGAGGTGCAAGACATTTTGTATACAGCTACAAGGACATCAGTTGTGTATAACCACTCCAGAAGTGCCTCACTGCTTTGTTTTTCTTTCTGTCTCCAAAAGGTCTATCTCCATATTTAACGTCTGCATTTAGGTTTAAATCTTCAAAGGCAAAGGTTTATTCTTCAAAGAAGTAACAAAATTCACCAAGCTAATCTAAATTTTACTGGTATGTTCCTCACAATTTAAACATTGCAGATCTAAGCCAAGTTCTGTAACCAAGTTATAAGTAACAGCAAACCCAAACACTTGAGCACTCTTCAGACAAAGGCATAATTGTAATGAACATTCATCAGTAATTCACATGCTGGCTCTTGGGATCACTTCACACTGAAGCAACATCTCACTATAAGCACATCCATTGCTAGGGGCAAGCTTAAGGGTAGCTGTTCTCTAAATGATACCTCTAAGCTGGCAGAACTTGGCATCCCACATTGCTTTCATTTAAATGACTATACAAATTGTCACCTACCAGTGTTGTCCTAAGCTGTGCCTGGTGGTCCCTCGAGCAGATATACAGCCCTGCCAGGACACCATTTCAGCTTAATATCAACAGCTTCTGAAGCCCAGAAAAGCCTTGTGCCTAAAAAAAGCCAGTATTGGTGGCTGGTTTCCTGTCTGAGCAGGCTCAAGCTGTGTTGTCTGCAGATGTGAAGAAAATGAAACAAGGAAAACTTGGGTTTGAAACAACACACAAATTGATTTAAGAATTCTTGATGAAAAGCAACTGAATTTTCCAAGTGCTTTTCCCCTATAGGAGAATCCATGTTTCAAAAACCCTTTTAAGAAAATGAAAGGAGCATACTCGTAATGCTCCATTTTAAGCATACATTTAGCTAAAGTTGAACTACTCCAGTAGTTTAATTTCTTTTCCCAGGGCAAAAGACAAAATAAAGATGCCTTCTCTTCTTAGGCAATAAATCAGTTTTCATAGAAAAAACACCCCTAAATTCATACAGATTTTCTATTTCAATAGAAATAATTTCTAGCCTACAAAACAAAACTATTTGCAGTTCCTTTGTCCTCTGATGGAAATACAGGATAAACTATCATAAATAGAAAAATTTCAGTTGTTTAATGCTATTTTCTTCAGATTAGTTTGAAATTCCCCATGGGATTACTGACCTCTACCGGAATGATGCTCTTGAAGAATAACTTTATTACGGAATTGAAATCAAACGAAATCCTGCAATTGTTTTCCAGTTCTAAAAGTCTGCTCCCACCATATCACACCTTGGCAAGATTCCACTGTAAATTAAAACCAATTCCATTCAGCATTCATTAACCAGCCCCAAGTTGTAGCACACATATAAAACAAATCAATTTGTGCCTTTCCTAAAGCAACTGAACACCCATGACAAAACCACCACTGCAATAAGTGCCCTTCCTGGCAACTCCAGACAGACCAAAAAAGCAGTGGAATTACCACATTACTTCTAAAGATTCACAAAAGGAATTGCAGAACTCCAACATTAACTCCTCAGTGTTGGAAATGTGGCTGGAACAGCAGCAGCCTAACAACTCACTTGAAAGGGTCTTCAGGATACAGATCCTGTCTTACACAGACATTTATTTTTAATGGAATTATTATTTCAGGTGGTTACAGAACTGAAATCTCCAAGTCTGTGGATGTTTTACAGCTCTTACCACATGCACAAGTAGTTATTTTCTGCAGCACAGAACAGTGTAGTAACTCTTCTGCCCACTTGTAAATCAAATATCATAAAAAGATCATGATTTCTTAGAAAGAAAAGCTGAAGGCATCGAACAGATCACACACAATTTCATTTTATTTTGCCTTCTCTCCCTGGGGTGTAGGGGAGGGAGGACATGTGGGTCAATGACATTGTGCTACTTCACAAAAAATATCCCTGTGGCTCATTTCTTCTTGGTTCTCACCATAATCCACCAGAAGCTAAAATATTGTGTGTATTGATATTCCTATGTAAGAATCCAGAAAACTCTCACCTCCTTAAAATCCGTTCTTGGAGGGCTGTGCTCTAATCCAAACAGGTCCCACTTATTTTTGAAGCCTTACCTCCCTCTTTCCAGCAGCAATGTACTAATTTAAGCAGGTACGTACCTCACCAGCCCAGCTCCTCTCAGATTTCCCCTCTTTTCCTGTTAGAAAACATTCCCCAACTTTTCTATCACAAACAGAAGGCTGCCTGGCCTCCTGGGCACCACTCTAAATAAAACCCACAGCTCACCTTCTCCCTGTCTCCTGCTGTGAATGCATGACTGCACAAGCAGAACCTGCAGAGGCACACAAGCATCTTGCTTTCACCATTTATAACATACTGCTTCAGCTCTCCTACATGAACTTCTATTTTTAGTTTCACACCAGCACCTGTTCTTGAGTTCACCTCCTTCACAGACTGATTGCAGCCTCTATCTTCAAGTACAAAGTCTATACAAGGCTATTAAGTGACATGCAGGGTAACAGTTCTATGGCCCAATCTCTCCTTTGACAGCTAATGCTCACCTGGGGCCTGCAAGGACGCTGGAGAGGGACTCTTCATCAGGGACTGTAGGGATAGGACAAGGGGTGATGGGTTCAAACTGAAACAGGGGAAGCTCAGGTTGGAGATACGGAAGAAGTTCTTTACTGTGAGGGTGCGGAGGTGCTGGAACAGGTTGTCCAGAGAAGTGGTAAATGCTCCATCCCTGGCCAGGTTGGACACAGCCTTGGGTGACATGGGGTAGTGTGAGGTGTCCCTGCCCATGGCAGGGGGTTGGAACTAGATGATCTTAAGGTCCTTGCCAACCTTAACTATCCTCTGATTCTATGAATTCCCACAAGTAAGCATAAACTATGGACCACCAGCTTGCTAAAAAAGTGGAACTTCATACAAATAAAAGACCAAGCAATAGGCTTTGCACTACCCACCTGAAAGCTTAAGAAATACAGCAAGATGAGCACTGCTTGTTAACACATTTTAGCTTTATTTTACACTTGCTTTCCCCAAGCTTTGGGTGTAATTTTATCATCATTATTATTTCTTTAGAGTACCACTTCCACATCCTGCTTTATTAGTGTATGGACATTTTGAACTTTGGATTTAAACTACCACAGGAGGTGACTTTGAGGTTCCTTCCTCATAGAGCTAAGAAGATTAAGAAACACACATTACCTACTTAGTCATCTCTCTAAACGATGAACAGCATTCATAAAACTACGACTTGATAAATATAAAAT